GGCCTTCCATTGCTGCTGCCTCCACTGCCACCCTGCGCCATGTGCCTCTGTCGTCTGCTCACGCTGCTGACGGCTTCCGCTTTTTAACCTAGGCCTGTGTATGGCTTCAGAATAATGCTGCCTACACCGCCACCCTGCGCCATGTGCCTCTGTCGTCTGCTCACGCTGCTGCCAGGTCCATACTGATTCATGGCCCCCTTTACCGGCTCCTCATGAACGTGGTTCAGCGGGTTTGCATCACTTAACGGCAAATCGTTGTCAAACGCTGGGACGTTCAGTGTTGTGCGCATTAAGCCAGACACCAAAGGGCAGCACAGACCTGTTATTACTCGCTCAAGCATGGCTGAACAAAACCAGTCTCTACCACAAATTGGACCCAGACCTGCCCAGGGTCTCGTAAGTAGATTGCACGGAGGAGTAGAGTTCGTTATTGGAATTAACTGTGAGGGACTTTTAAACCTAGGCCTGTGTATGGCCTTCAATTGAAGCTGCTTCTGCTCCGCCACTCTGCCATTGGACTCTTGATAGTCATCTCCCCACGCTGCTGCTGGGGGGACTTTTTAACATAGGCCTCTGTATGGCCTTCAATTTTAGCTGCTTACGCTCCGCCACTCTGCCATGGGCCCCTGTACCACCTCCTCATGCTGCTGCCAGGCCCGTAATCTGCCATGGGCCCCCGTACCGACTCCTCATGCTGCTGCCAGGCCCGTAATCTGTCATGGGCCCCTGTACCGCCTCCTCATGCTGCTGCCAGGTCCAGAGTGTGTCATGGGTCCCTGTACGGCCTCCCATTGCTGCTGTCTCCATCGCCACACTCTGCCATGTGCCACTTTCAGGTCTCCTCACACTGCTGGTGGGTTCCATTTTGTCATAGTGTGCTGTATGGCCTCCCATTGCTGCTGCCTCCTCCACCGCCACACTGTGGCTCCACACTCTGGTTTTGGCCCCGTGACTGCCCAAATGAGTGAAGTGTGCGGTGATTCTAAGATCGACGGCACTCATCTGCATGTCATACTGACTGACAGTATTATTTCTCTTCCCCAGCAGACTCCAAGGGCATTTAAATTAAAGGTACAGTGTTCTGCACTAATATAAAGGCTCTCTGAAGCCTAGAAACACCCTTTTTATAAGTTAAATTTGCAGCGAATATATTCGGCTCGAAGCAAATTTATTCGGCGAATTCGGCGAATCAGCCGAACCGAATTTTTGAATAATTCGCTCATCTCTAGTTATTTTCTGAGATATTACAAAAGTGACACATTTAATAAAGAGCAAATCATTACATGTTTAAATGTCTCCTTTACAAAGTTTATAGTGATATCAATGTTTGCACATTTTTTAAAAAGACAGCTGTGGACGTTTCTGATGCAGATGTTCCAACAAATAAATTTCACATGTAAGACATTTCCCACTAGATCAGAACACAAATTCAGAGAGTGATTGTATTTTTTTTTTCTAGACATAGTGTACAGAATGCTAAAAACATTTAGATTTGCTTTCACAAAGGATTTGAAAAGCTTCAAAGATATGACAATACTCAGATGACACCACTTTTAGAGGATACTTGTTTTTAAATGTGTCATAGACCATTGTTGCAAATGTCCTTTTTTTGTTGAAGGACCCTTGGGATGAGTAATCTGCAATAATTAATACACGTGTATGTTTTTTTTATATTCAGTTGTTTTGGGATATTATATGATGGGTCCAAAGGGAAGTTCTTGATTTTGAACACACTAAAGTCTCACTTTAGCCAAACCTTTTACTTTAATTTTGAATAGGCTATAAAAGAATTAGAACCTCTGTCAATTTTTTTTAACAACATATGTGTCCATATTTAGGAAATGTACTGTAGGCTTATTTTCTGTGATGGGAAACAATTTTGTTTTTGTTCAAGTCTTTGTATTAGATTGGAAAAGGTCTGCATATATTCCAGTACTCAATAAGGAAAAATCAGTTATATCTACAAAATAATGCAAGCTAAAATGTTGCAATATATAAGAACAGATCTGCCACATGTGTAAGGCTGGGCTGGATAAGTAGATACACTAAAGTTCAAAAGAACAAACAAAATCTTGCATAACTACTTTATTGTCTCCTCTCTAGCTCTTATTACTTGTTCTTTAACCACTTCCTGACCACGCTATACCCGAATGATGGCTACAGCAAGGTCGTCCAGTTCTGAGAGGGCATCATAAGACGTTCTCCCCAGAATGTGACCCCCCCGCCGCTCGCCCCCAGCAGCATGCTCCCAGCGCTCTCTGTGATCGCTGTGTCCTTTGGACACAGCTTATCATATGAAATGGTTAATGGCCAGTCACAGCAGCCTTTTACCACATGATCAGTTGTGTCCAATCACAGCTGACTAGCATGTAAATACACTTGCCGGTATCGGCAGTACTTTCCTCACAGCGTGAGGAAAGTACTGCGTATAACTGGCAAATGTCAAAGTAGACATACTGTATACTGTATGTACCCTGATTATCAGTGCAGCCCCCAAAGTGCCCATCTCTGCCCAACTGTGCTGCCTATCAGTGCCCAACAGTGCTGCCCATCAGTGCCCAGCAGTGCTGCCCATTAGTGCCCAACAGTGCTGCCCAGCAGTACTGCCCAACAGTGCTGCCCATCAGTGCCCAATAGTGCTGCTCAACAGTGCTGCCAATCTGTGCCCAACAGTGCTGCCAGTCAATGCCATCTATCAGTGGTATCAGTCAGTTTCGTCAGTCAGTGCTGCCAGTCAGTGACACTAGTCAGTGCTCTTCAGTGCTACCTATTAGTGCCCATCAGTGCCTCCTATCAGTGCCCATCATTGCTGCCTATCAGTGCCCATCAGTGCTGCATATCCATGCAGCATCATCAGTGCCTCCTCATCAATGCCCACCAGTGCCACCTCATCAATACCGCCTCATCAGTGCAGCCTATCAGTACCATCAGTTCTGCCAATCAGTGCAGCCTCATCAACAACAGTAAGCAAATAAAAGACAAAAGGTCCAAGTTTGCCCTCAGTCAGTGAGGTTGCCCATAACATTAAAGAAACAATTAAAATGTTTTGGGAAGGAATAGGGTGAATAAGCCTTAATGAATTTACTGAAAGTAATTGTTTCCATCACATTCTCAGTTCAAATTGCCCCGGTTTGAGAAAGATTTACTTTTAAAGGCAGGGTCCAGAAGAAGTATGTATGGTAGCCAGTCCAATGCTGGTAATAGTTTAAAGATTAGGACTGAATGGACCATCTCAGCACTGAACTGAAAACTGCTGTTTGAAACTTCTTGTTCCTCAGAGAGTATATCATAGGGTTTAATAAGGGAGTCACAACAGAATAAACAACAGACACAACTTTATCCTTGTTTAAGTCATACTTTGCTTTTGGTCTTACATACATGAATATAACAGATACATAAAAAATTAGTACAACAGTCAAGTGAGATATACAGGTGGAGAAAGCTTTACTTTGCTTTATTGTAGAAAGTTTGATAGTGAAAATGATGCAAACGTAGGAAGCCATTATCAGCAAAAAACATGTTAACACAATACTCCAAGACAAAGTAAAAAATATAACTTCTGTTGTACTGCTTTCAGGGCAGGCTAGTGTCAGAAGTGCAGGATAATCACAAAAGAAATGATTTATTCTGTTAGAACTACAAAAGGGTAACGTAGCAATAAATGTGATTGTTAAAACCGAGGCAGAAAACCCACTCAAAAAACTTAGAATTATCAACTGTAGACATGCTCTTGTTGTCATTAAAGATGAATATCTTAGGGGATTACAGATTGCAAGATATCTATCACCAGCCATTACTGTTAACAGAATACATTCAGATGATCCAAGTGAGAAGAACACATATAGTTGGGTCATGCATGCTTCAAATGAGATTGTTTTGCATTTGACTATGAAAATGGACAACATGTTTGGTGTTGTGACAGTCACATAGAAGATCTCCAGTAAAGAAAGGTTGGCAATAAACATATACATAGGGGTATGTAAGGATGGTGTCAACTTTACTATCATAATTATAAGGAAATTTGCAATAATAGTCAAAATATAAATGATTAGAAATATGGAGAACAAGATAAGTTTTATGCTCTGGGCACTGGAAAATCCAACAAAAATAAATTCTAATGTCATAGTTTGGTTGTTTGTCCATTCAGTTAATTCCATCTGAAAGAGTAAAAAAGAAGGAATATGGATGAACCTGTAAATGGAATGTATGTTAGTTTTGCATATATTTTTCTAATACAGTCAGTAACATTTTAAAATTTAAATATTCAAAGATAGATAGCAGTGTCCCTTAATGTGCTCTGTTGAAAAAAGCCTGATGTTTACCAAACTCAGTTACTCAAGCTACAATTTTCACACATACCCAGCAGTAACTCATTTCCTTCTGCTCCCTCTATTTGAGTTAATTATGGCAAACACAGCTCCTCAGCCCTCTCATAAACAAAGACCAAAGTAGGATTCTTAAGTGCTTGAGTTATCAGAAAACAGTATTTAAAATTACAATCTGATTTTTTTTTTTCATTTTAGTTATGTAATCTGAATGAGAACATATAACAAATATAAAATAGTAATTATCCCAATTTGGCTGCAGATTTAGATATACAATTTATATTTTCCTAAGATATTAAGTACAGTATTTGAAAAATTTTAAGGAAAATAAAACAATAATATATAAAGACCAAAATCATACAGTAGGTGCTGCCATTTTACTTGTATTATTTACTTTGGAGTTTTTGTATGGTACATTTCACTAACTGTACAAATAAAAGCTAATTAAGCTTTGGTAAAAAAAATAATTCAATCTCATAGCCCCTAATAATTGCTATGGGCAGCATGCACCTCCATCGATAGCCTGAGATGAAAGCCTATGCACCAGGATGCCAATCTACGACACTGTTGTTCTCACTGCATTTTTAATGATTCAGCCTATGCAGGACTGGCAAGCCAAAACCTAGCATAACAATTTCTGGCCAACTGCCACGACTCAAGGTACCTAACATCTCCTTTTCCTAGCAGCAAACCACTTCCTTTGATTCAGTTATTCATGTTTTAATCACATATTTTGATTTAATCTGTAAATCTCTAATGTAAGCCCCTTGCGCGTTATACAGTTAATCATTTTGTGCTTCAAAACTCACCTATCTGCATGCTAAGTCCAGAGATTGTTTTTTCAAAAAATAGGTGCTGGAACTCAACCACGACCCCCGAAAACCCCTCCTCCCTTCCCACAGACACCCTTCAAACCACATCAAATAGCAGGTGTGGTCAAATTTCCCTAACAGTAGGAGGGTCTTAAAGGGGCATTAAATACCAGGAGTGCATTACATACAGAGTGAAGAATTCAAGGGGGTTACACACACAGTGCAGAGTTCAGGTGTATACTGCATACAGAGTGCAGAGTTCAGGGGTGCGCTACACACAGAGTGCAGAGTTCAGGGGTGCACTACACACAGAGTGCAGAGTTCAGGGGTGCACTACACACAGAGTGCAGAATTCAGGGGTGCACTACATACAGAGTGCAGAGTTCAGGGGTGCACTACGCACAGAATTCAGAGTTCAGGGTTGCGCTACATACAGAGTGCAGAGTTCAGGGGTATGCTGCATACAGAGTGCAGAGTTCATCCTTCTTCCACAGCTGCTTACCTCTGCATCCCTCATTCACATCTCCTTTTCACCCCTCTTCAGCTCTGACCTCTACATGCACCCCATCCCCTCCACTGCTCCTATCTTCTCCCCCTCCCTTAAAGCCTCCACCATCTTCCACATGTCTTACGTTTGTTGCTGTAATAACCTGAAACACCTAGCTCTAGTACCTCCCCATACACTGTAGATGGGTTCACCTTTCTCACTTGCCGGGAGATCATCCAGTGGGGGTGTCCGCATCCGCATTGCACCTTGGGCACATGCATCTCCCTTGTCCTCATCCTGCACTCAGTGGGAGCTGCTCAAGACATCAGATCTGTAAGAGCTGTTGGGAGACAAGCTGTCACTTGTAAACACAGAAGACAGACTTCTGTGTTTACAAGTGAAAGTGGTGAGCAGGGAACAGAGGGCCTGAGCCAGAGGTGGTAGAACTGAGTTCTACCAAGTTCCAGCTGAGAAAAGCCCTGGCTAAATCCATTTCAAACTGTAGCTTGATATTAGATAGCTGGCAGATCTTCATAAGCTTCAAGCTTAATCTGAAATGTTGTTTTGAATCAGACCTTACAATGCTGACCTGCTCTGACAGTTTAATGTGAGTTAATAAGGAATTGGCACTTGCACATTTAGGATAGGATAGCTGTAGTAAATCAAAACCAAAGGGTTTGATTTATTAAAATTGGAGAGTGCAAACTCTGATGCAGCTCTGCATGGTAGCCAATCAACTTATAACTTCGCTTTTTTTTTTCAGTTAAGCTTTGACAATTAAATCTGGAAGCTGCACCAGATTTTGCACTTTCCAGTTTTAGTAAATCAACTCCAGAGTGTCTGAAAGGAAGTAGCAAGTAGTTCAAGTACTTTATCCATAGAATATACACAATGCCTGAGAAGTCTTTGACATGGCCACACCCTGTATTAAATGTTTCTTTGTAAAACAAAGATTTTATACATATAAGACAGCTATAAAACATATGTTTTAAAACTTAAAAAATACAATAAAATAGACTCAATGTAATATAGTTTTTCTTTAGGTATTATTATTACCATACTGGAAGAGTGACTCCAAGCAAGAAGTAAATTAAACTGTGAACTGCTAAAACTATTTAAGAACAGTGCTGCTGCTATGGCTATAAGTTTAAACTACTTAGCTATATAGCAGAACCATGAAAGCCCAGCATAGTTTATGTGCCTAGTGGATCATGGCATCCTGTCTGTCAGTAGTAGCAAGCAAGACTCCTGAATGTACAGTAAGCAGGATGGGCCAGATAGTCATAAGGAGTGGCATGAGGGACTACAGGGGATAAGGACATTTTGCAATGACTTGGAGGAATGCAGTTGGCAATGCTTGAGCAAAACGTTTACTCTGCCTTTACTTTGTGACCCTATCTCAGGTGCCTGTCACCTGATTATATTTTTGGCCTGGCACCTCAGCCATCTAACAACTCGCCATTCCTTAACCTTTAGTGTCTCTTGATTGTGTACTTCACCCATTTTCTGCCAAACAACAGCTGTCTCCAGTCTGACTGCCACAGTCAGAGTCCAGGCCACAACCTGGGAGTCATTTCACAGCAAAGCTCATCACCACTTGTGAAGAACACTAGTGAGATTAGGTGCCTTGGCTCTATTTAGGACCTGTATGTCCCTGATGATGCACAGCGTGCACAACTACTGTGACAGTTCTTTTCGACCCTGACACACAGGATGCAGTTCATTTTAACTGTTTTGGCTGTGCTAAATTATGTAAAGTACTGCAATTTCCAGACACTAACAAATGGTTGCTCTTTCAAATGCTCTATCAAACTGTTATTTTGCTAAGCAGCTTGGAAATTTTTGTTTTTGATGCACATTGCCCTTCCATGTACACCTTATTGCAAAGGCTATTTATAAATTGGAGTGGTTGCCATTTTTTTGTAAAGCTTGTTCGCTTATTTGATGTGGGACACATTGGGTATCTTCATCTTCTATTGCTCTCTTGTTGGGTGTTTATTGTGTCCCTTTGCCCTTGAGGAGGAGTGGGCTCCCTCCAGGCAAACTTCCCCTTAGTTTATGCACTGCTCTGTGTGCTCCTATTTGGAGACTCTCAAAAGAATTATGACCACACTATACACAGGAGCCTAGGCATAGGCACTGTGGCTTCCAGATATATCTGCAAATTTGTGCAGTGAAACCCCCTGTTTTTAATGTGAATTGTTAGACAATGTCAATTTGTTTTTTTTACAGACTATCTGGCAAGTGTGCTGGGAAATTGTTGTTTGTTTGTGATGTAATTTGTCCTTCGATGTGCACTTTAAAGCAAAGACTAGTTATAAAATTGGGGTGGTTGCCATCTTTCTGTATAGTTTGTTCGCTGATTTGATGTGGGGACACATTGGATGCCTCCAGCTGCCATTATGATCTTGCTGGGTGTCCAGAGTGTCCCTTTGCCTTTAAGGAGGAGTGGACTCCCTCCAAGCAAATCTGCCCTTAATTTATCTGCTACTCTATGTGCTCTAATTTGGAGACTCTCAAAAATATAGAGTTAGAACTATACATATATATATATGCATATACAGGTGAAACTCGAAAAATTAGAATATCGTGCAAAAGTTAATTTATTTCAGTAATGCAACTTAAAAGGTGAAACTAATATATGAGATAGACTCATTACAAGCAAAGCAAGATAGTTCAAGCCGTGATTTGTCATAATTGTGGTGATTATGGCTTAC